TCATAGACGTCAAATCTAATACTTCCCAATACTCCTTTGTAAACAATTCCAATTTATGAGCCAACTTCTGGCCGGTCCTGGCCCAAGTGGTTTCCTCATTACCATCAAGCTCACAAATAGTTTGTAAAGTACCTAATATACCCGACCTGCATCGCATCTTCCAAACTATATCAACAAACAAATAAAAATACCCTTCTCAAGGCACATTAACTATATCAACAAAACTTCTCTTTCCAAAAACATCACAATTATTTGGGAAAAACACAAAGTCATAACCAGTGCAATTCACACTAATATCACAAGTCAACCTTCTCCACTTTTATCACCCGAAGGCTTTTTCACATTACCACTTATAAATCATACCAATGCAACTTCCATAACACACTGGATCAAATTTGTCAACTTATATACAAACCTCTACGACCTCACCCTAAGTCAATCAGCTCATTACAAGCCTGATTCCTTTGAGCAATTTGAAAACATTATTAAAGCCAACAAGAAACTCAAAAAATTGGATCAAATTAAATTCAGATGTCTTTCTACCTTTCGAACTAAACTTATAGCGGATCAGCTCCCAACAAGATCAAAGCTTCACAAGAGGTACCCTACATTATATCCGGATAATCTTTGTCCCCGTTGTGATGTAGAAGAAGAAACCCAGGAACATATCATACACTGTCTGCATAGCAAATGATATCTTAATAAGAAAAAACCCAAACTTATGGATCTTATTCAACATAGTCAAACAAGTGACACTTTTTCAAACAACAGTACACAACAGCCTATCAATACAAGTTCTTTAACAGAGTCCCACATCTTTCAGATAGCACTGGGAAAATATACTCACCCCTTTGATAACATTGGTAAAAACAAAGAAGACATTTCCAACAAAGCACTGAAGCTGTTATACAAGGTTTGGAAACAAAGATCTGAAACTGCAGTCACCTCTCCTGCCGGTGGAATAAAATGGAAAAAAATTAAAGCATCTGCTTCTATACCCCAAACAAAAAATAATGATAGTGTCTTTAATACTATTCTAAATATTTTAGTATCAAATCATTTAAATACTAACAAAAATATATTTTCGACTACACCAAATTCTTTGTTCTGAATGAGCATTAGCCATTCAGCATTAACAGTGTCAACCCACTCTCGCAGTGTACAGTTGGCATTGTTAATTTAGTTGCAATAGGCTACAATTAACTTACTTGTGTAAAGATTGTTGATGTAATGATTATAAACAATTCGTTTAATAAAAATCGCGCATCTAATGCTCATTTGCAAAAAAAAAAAAAAAAAAAGAAATTTAGCATAGTATTATTTATTTTGTTCACAATACTTTCTTCTACTATAAGCAGGATTTTTTAAATATTTATAATAATTTTAGGAATGGGATAAAAAGATATATTTACAGGTCAATTTTTTTTATTATTTTTTAGCAAGAACTTAATAATGCATAAAATTTAAATAACTGAATCAAACTTGACAAGCTAAAACCAAATCTAATACAAATCCCACTATTATCAACTGGTTGCCAAAGATAACATATCAGTAAATTACTATATAGATTAAAAAATATATTAATGATGTTTTATTTTTTTTAGATTAAAGGTGATTACATTATAAATTAAAGACTGAAGATTCTTTTTCAAATAGATTGTAATTATATGAAAATATATATATATCAATAATTATCATGGTTAAATAAAGATTTTGATGTAAATATATCAATAAATATGATTATGGATTATATTATACTTATTAAATTTTAATTATTTTATTATTTAAATATATTAATTAAATTTGATTTATTTTTTTTTTGAGGAACAAAGACAACTGTTAATCTCTGGCTTTTTATTATAAGTGACTTGCCATTACAACAGTATTATAAATTGCTAGACTAAACTACATCTCTCTTTCATAAGAAGAGCTTAATGCTAGGTTCAAAAATTGGCCCTTTGTCTAAGTACCTATTATTCATCCAATACTAAATAGTAAACTCATTTCAAAACCTATTTTAATTCTTGGGCAGTGCCCAGCAGAAGGCTGAGAAATAGGAGAGTACCCAAACACATGAAGGCGCTGCAGCCAGATATACAGGTTTGCCTCCAAGTCATGGTTGGAATTTGACACGCTTGCTTTTCAAAGTTGGCTTGATGTACGGCAGGCAGAGTCAGTGGAGGGAGAAATATGAATGGTTTTACCTTAATGCATGAAGGTGCTGCAGCTACTTTATGCAGGTTGGCCTCCAAGTTACAAGAAGGATTTGGCATATCTATTGTCCAAATGTGGCGGAAGTATTCAATGGATAGAGTTGAATTGGATTTTCATATAGACATTGTTACCTAGCCTTACACATGAGACCTACATTGTTGAGGAGTGAACAAACATCGTCACCAGCTCGTTTACGAGGGTAACTAGAATCCCTGATCTTCACGTATTGTCCTAATAGATTCTCATAAGGCACAGCACCTAGAGATTCAGCCAATAATAGTGTGCACCGGTTTCTTAGACATATCTAATCTAGCCGTCAACAAGTAAACAACGCCGAATTTGGTAATGATGGTCATGCTGATCTTTTGGAGGGGGTAAACTATCCATTCTTTTTCTAAAAAATTATAGAAGAGAAAAACTTGTCGAAGTCCACTTCTTGGAGAAGATTTGTCACTTCTTATATGGTTCTTGAGAAAATGGAGTCAGCTGGCCAGAGGAGTGATGAAATGAACCATAGTATTTTCTAAAGAGAGAGAGGCCTAGAAAGGAAAAACTTCAGGAAGAAGGAAAAACCTAACTTTGGCAGGAAAAGGGAAAAAAGGAAAGAGGGGAGGAGAAAGACTAAAGAAAGTATATAAGAAGAGTAGGGAAGAATAAGGGAGGTGGGAGATAAAAGGCTTGTGACCAAGAGAAAGAGAGGGAAGGGGAAAAGCGAAGAAAAGTAAACAACTTAAAAAGTTTTCTAAAAAGGAAATTTTTAAGCGCAAGAAAGGGGAGTGGGAAAAAGTTTTTTTTTTATTAAATTTGATTTATATAGCACAATATAGAAGATTGTTAATAAAATTTAAGGTGGATCAGTTTAATTTAATATATAATACTGAAAGAATTCCTGAAGAAATCAATATATTGGATTAAGAAAGCTTGGAATAATATTAATAATATTATTTTAAATTGTTGAAAAAAAATTGATATTATTTCACCTTTACAATTTTCTTAAAAAACAAATAATTCTTAAATTCCTGCTTCTGATAGTACTGTTACTGGAGAAATGATTCCATTCCAATAGCAAAATTTAGAAAAAATGGAGAAATTAATTAATCAATTACCATATAAGCATAAAGATATTATTGATATAAATGATTATATTGAAATTGATAATTTATTTGTAAATTTAAATATTACAAATAAAGATATTATCAATTCAGTTCAATAGAAAAAAATAAAACCTGATACAGTGATTAAATGTATCAATACACTTTTAGATTTTATTGAACAAGATTCTAAATTAGATTTGGATGATAATTATATGGATATTCTTATTTCAATGCAACAAAAAATTTTAGAGAATTATAAATCTTAGATTTTTTATTTTAGGTTAAACTTTATATATATATTATATTATATGTAACTTATAAATTAACTAAATAAACCAAATATTATATTTAAGTTATAAATATACAGAAATTTTTAAACAATTAAATTATTTTATAATTAATTTATGATAATTGATACATATAAAATTTTTAATTTTACTATCTAAATTAACTTTGATAAATTAAATAAATATATTTATAATATTGAATTCTACATTCAGTAAAATTTTAGCTAATTTTAACAATTTGTATTTATTTAAAATTACATATTATTATATAATAATTTCACTAAATTAAAAAAAATTCCATTATGGATAGAATTCATTATAATAAATATATTTACTTAATCTATTAAGATCAATTTATATAATAAAATAAAAACTTTTACAAGAAATTATAATTCTAAATTTATGATGATAATTTTAAATTTTCATTTTTTTTTAATAGTAATTTTATTTATTAAATAACTTTTTAAATATTTAATATAAATTTATATAATTTAATATATAAGTAATTAAAAACCTAATAAACAATATTAATTAATTATAGATTACTTGTTAAAACACTAGTTATAGAAATAATATGAATATAATAATCTAAATCTAAATCTAAAAAATCGCCGCACGAAATGTAAACCCTAAACGCTAATAATTAAATGTTGTTATAAATTAGCAAAACTTTCACTGTATATGTATTTACTTGTCTAGATTATACTTACTTAATGCACAAAACCATATATGCCTAATAAAATAAAAAGTTTATTATGTAGTAACTTTTTACATTTAAAAAAATTTCGGATTTTTTCGAAAACAGCCCCGTGTATCAGATTTTCTTATATCGAGTAAACCGGGACCCGGAAAATTTTCGATGATCGTCCGATCATCAACATACTGTATACTGTATAGACTATTTGTACACAGTTTCTTTTATCGAGAGTTGACCGTATAAATTTATTATATTCTAAATAGTAATAGGCTATCATTTAATGCAATATTACTACCGTACTTATGTCAAAGAAATCAACAGACAATTTTTATGAAAAACCGTATAAGACGATACCCGAAGCAACCAATAATATAGTCGGTTCGGAAAATATTGATTGAGATTAAGAAATTGACAGTAAATTCTATAAAATCCCTTATATAGGATAAAGCGCACAGAATATACCAACTGTTTTTGGTAAATTGTATTATACAGTATCGCATCCAGAAAAAGTGATTTTTTCAATTGTTTGGTAATTACAAAATAGTAAATTTGCGCGTTAAATCAAAATGTCGTTTTTAAACAATGAAAACACTTCAGATTGGTTTGATAATGTATAAGTAATTAATGATATAATATATATATATAGCCTAAATTTGATCCCAAGTTCTAATTCAAGATTACATTCTCCATAAAAGAGTTTGCAAGAATATGGTGCATGTTTATAACGACATATTATCGATCGTAGTGGTCGTTCTCATTATTTATATTTCTCATTTTTATTATAAATACTTTACTCGCAAAAATCCTCTCCCTGGTCCAATACCCCTTCCTTTATTCGGTAATCTTTTTCTATTCCGTCATGATATTGGCGAGTTGCCAGGATTACTTCAAAAGAAATATGGAGATATTTTTGAAACCTATATAGGTTCCCGAAAATTTGTCTGGCTTTGTAGAGAAGATTTAATTCAAAAAATGACTACTACATCGACTCGCAGTAACTTTCATAATCTAACGACTCCAGACAATGAAGGTCTTAAAGAAGTTGGATTGTTAAATACTGCACTTGTCTATAACTTAAATTATAAGACCTGGGAATTCTATCGAAGGTTTTACGCGAGGTCTATCTTGAAGTCGTCGTTTAATATTAAAGCCGCAGATTGTATCCAGGAAGCATTTAGAGAGATGGAAGATTATTGGGAACAACTCGGAGAAGGCACAATATTGGAATTTCCCCGCTGGATAAAAAGATTTTTTACGGATACCACATTCCTTATGGCCGCTAGTAAACCCACATACTCATTGGCTAGCTACTATAATAGTTTATTTACTGATAAAAAGGTCCATATACCAGCAAACAGCCTAAAAGAAAGCGATACTTTTATAAGGGCTATTGATGCCTTTGTTACGAGTCTCTTATACTTTCTACTACTTCCAAAGTATCTTAGAGAATTACCGGGACTCAGGGGATACACAAATAATTTAAAGAAAAGGGTAGAATGGTTAAAGAATAACGTTCGTGGTATTATCAAGGAGAGAAGAGAAGAAATTGAAAAAACTCCCGAAGACCATGAGTTAGCACATGATTTATTAACCATGTTTATAACGATTAATACTTCACGTGACATCACCGAAAAAATTGCGGATAGTTTACATGATAGGCCTATGACTGATGAAGAAATTTGCGGAAACTTTATGGAACTTTTATCGGGTGGAATCGATACAGTAAATATTGCAATCATCAGATATTATTTCCGTATCTTAAAGTTCCCATAATAATTAATTCTGTAAAATTTAGTCGTCGAATTCTATCTGCTATATTATTTATTATCTTTCGCATTATCCAAAAGTTAAAGAAAAGTTTATAGAAGAAATTGATCGTGTCGTGGGGAAAGATATAAGCCATAAGATTACTAATGAAGACATAGGAAAACTTGAATATTGTGAAGCAGTAATTAATGAATGTATGTAATCTTTTTATTCATGCATCCTAGGAATGAATGCAATTTGTTCTAAAAAAATTATTTATTTCAGGTTCTCGAATATTTTCGATTCTTCCAAGTGTGGGTAAAAGAAACGCAAAGCCTGACGAGATTGGCGGCATGACATTTCCTGCAGACACTCAATTTTTCACTTATTTCCAAGGAATCCACAAACACAAGTCTCTATGGACGGATCCAGAAGAATTTAATCCAGAAAGGTTCATGGGTAAAAACGGTGCAGAAAACAAAAAACACCTTTATACTTTTGGCATTGGGCTAAGAAAGTGTAAGTGATTTTACATTATTAGCAGACACACTGGTAATCTTATTTCGATATAAATAGAGAATGAAATATTTTTTCAAATAGGTCCCGGAAGAAACTTGGCGATGTTAGAATTAAAACTTACTTTGGCATTATTGTACAGAAAGTATGATATCGAACTAGTTGATATGAATTCACCGATAAAGTATCATACTGCCATAGTCAGGACTTGTGATGAACTTAAAGTTCGAATCAAGAAACGAAATATTTAACCATATGCATCCATTGCATTTGTATAAAAAATTGGTTTTTTAATAATAAATCATCCGAAAATTTCAAAATAAACAGAGATCAAATTTAGTCATTTGAGTATTTTTTTTTTAAAAAGAAAAGAAATATGACATTATTTTATTATTATATTTAAAAGGTTAAAAATAATATAATAAATACTACTTTTTACCCATTACAACTTCTTTATAAATAATCAAATAATAAGACAATGAAGCACCCGGAAAACAATTAAAAAATATATAATTCATAAATATTGTAACATGAGTAATGGCGACGCGATCTGCATTAACGACGATCTCCAAGAAGTATCGCGAGTTCTAACTTGGACAAAACACGTCGAAATAATGAACAGCACACATGTAAATGTGGAACGATGTGATAGAGAACTATAGTATAATCAAAGAAAAGACCGGGTTAGGTCACGTGACCCGTTTCTGCTTGTCAGATGTAATATTACGACAGAAACGATAATTTATTATGTAATGGTTTCGCTGCGATCTATTATTTTTGATTTTTTTTTGTTTATTTTATTTTCTTATTGTCGATTATTATGGAATTATTGGACTAATTGTATAAAAAAAGACATACTGTATATCATTAATAAAAAAGTAATCTTTTTCGGCCACAATCAATTCCGCCTCATAAAATAAAAACACTTACCATCGTTACGCGAATCTTAGCCGATCACCGTTACAATACTGTATACAGTATTTATCTATAAATATATCTACATTATATAAATAAATTATCAAAAAAATTTTTATTAAAAAAATTTAACCGCGAATGTTCTTTATTTACATAAAATTAAAAAATTTTATATTGTTATTTTTATTTATAATTGAATATTTAAATAATTAAGTTAAATAAAAATACAGTATATACAGTATATATTATATGTATATAAAATCAAAAAAATTTTAGATTTTAAAATATTATTATTAATCTATTATTTGAAAAAACAATTTCAAATTTCAAATTTCTCTATTAATTATAAAACAACAATAATTAATTGTTAAAATAGCTTCATATTTAAATAAGTTAAATACAAATCAATAAAACTAAAAAATTTTCTATTTTTTACTAATAAAATTTTTTTAAAAATAATTTTTAGATGAATATTGAAATATTTGTTTTTTTAATATTGCTTAATAAATAATATTTTATAAAATGGAAAATATATTTATTAAAGTTTTTTGTTTTTTTAAAAATAATTAATCAATGATATTAAAAATTTTATAATAAAATACAATTTTTAAATCATTATTTTTTTTATATTTTTAATATATAGCTATATAACAGAACTCTTTTCCAAACGTATTAAATTTCCTTATTAGAAAGACACAAACAAAATGTTCGTTAGAAGGATGTCAAGCAACAACAGGAGCCAAGGGACTCTAACAAATTCCCCCAATAAATCAGAACAAGCCTTAAGATATGAAAGGAGGGTAGGAAAAGATACTATTCCTACCAGAACACAACCATATGCAAAGAAGTCAACAATAACAACCGCAAAACAGAACCCAGCAACAATCAGAATGACACTCAACAAAACATAGCAACAGCAACCCAAAATCCAACAAGAGACAGAAGCAAAACAACAACAAACAAGTATAGAGCCAAATCACGAAAAACAAAACAGCCAAGAAACAACCACAAGCTCTTTTTCCTGAAGCAAAATCGTCAAAATACACTATAATGAAAGCAGCACTTCAAACGGTTACCAATACAGTCAAGAAACAGAAACCAGCTCTGGAAATAAAAGAAATCCAAGAATCGATGACACTGACAAAGAAATGGAGATATATTTAGACTATACACCAGAGGACAAGTAGATTCCAGCATGAAATAAAGGGAAAAATAAAGAATTAGCAAGAGATTTCAGAAAACCCAAACCACTTTTACTCTTTGACAGAACCCAGAGATATGGTAGAAAATGATACAAAGTAGGTATCCTAGCAAGTCAAGTCAAGGGCAAAACCATTTACCAAAAACTAGAACACATACTGCTAGCTCTCAACTTGCCAGAAGGTCTTCTCACTGTCTACATTAAAGGGAAAAATGAAGACATGAAAATTACTGCTATTTTTGGAGATTAACAAGTTGCACAACATGCTACAACTATTGACATCCCTAACATGAAAGCAAAAAAACTGGAACATATGAAAATAGGATGCCAAGAGATTAATAAGGAAAATTCTATAGTGGTGTAGAACATCTCCTTGAACACAAAATTGATCAAAGTAAAACAGATCTTCTCCAAATATAGACAAATTCAAGGAATTACAATGAAAACCCAGAACCTATGGCAATGCGCCACAATCATATTCAAAAATCAGAAACTAAAAACAAATTAGTTGAAAGCAAAAGCATTCTTATCAGAGGAGACTCAGTTCAAATCAACGATGCAGAATGTACACTTACACAGATGAAATAGAGACATGAAATCATGGCTAAGCTCATAAACCTCCCACTCAACACAACAGCATGGGACCTCAAAAACATCCTGCTGCAAAGCAAAGGATGCACATGCTACATACCAAGATCGGCAAGCAAATGGTACAAACCTAAAAAATTCGCAATGGTCAGCTTCAAAACACAAGAAAAACTTCTGCAGGTGGTTCAAACACAATACACCCTTGGAGAAACTATACTCACCTTTACTTCAATCACAGCAAAACTCTGTGCAATTTGTGACAGAGCCAACCAACCATCTAGCCAAGAAGTGCCCAACCAAAGAAAGGCATATCCAATGAAACAGTTACAACAGAGCACAAGTATCAAAATTCAGATTATTATATAACAGATTCAGACCAGAAAAGACCAACACTATTCAAAATATCCACAACCCCAAGACACCATGAAATACAAAAGCAGGTACATATGCAGAAGCAGTTGTATAAAAAAAAAACAAAAATCTGAACCAAGAACACCTACCACTCTATCCGACATCACTAACATCCTCAAAGAAATTCAACAAGAACTTAACATAATAAGAAATCAAATTTCAAATCTTGATGTACATATCACTAATTTAGAATACTACAATGAAGAATACTATGAAACGATGGACAGTGAACAATCACCAGACACATTACAAACAACAATATCATTACAAGAAGAAAACATGCAACACCTAGAAGAAAATAGTCTAGATGACATCAGAAACAAACACAACTTTTCTCCTCGATCGATGGTATGCAAGACAAGATAAACCAAATATTCTCTACCATGGACACATTAGCACAGACATTAATCCAGAATATCAATAACAATAAACAATAATGGAAAATGCCAACAGCAACAACAATAATATAAACAATAATAACCAACACACAAGAGCTCAACCAGTTACCGATTCAACAACACATAAAGACAATACCACATCTCTCAACCAGCAACTCGAAACAATACTAATCTTGTCTAACACAGATTCCAATCAAAGTTTCCAAGACCAAAGTACCCACAACATACATGAAACAATGTCTACAAACACGCAAATCACAAACACAGACATCACAACAATAATACAACCACTAAAAGAACCAAATATACATTCTGCACACTCAACAGATCAGGTCCAAGAATAGCACATATCAACAATCAATATCAGAGAAATTAAATCCAATCTCAGCAAACTATTGCTATGGACAGAATGGATCAAAAAATCAGAAAGAGACATTATCGCACTCACAGAAACCAATATCTCTAAACAAGAAGGAAGACATATTAAATTTCCAAAATACCAAACAATATGGAGCGAATCAAGTGATCAATTCAAAGGTTTTGGAGTTACCCTGCTAATCAAACAAAACATAGCAATATACATCTTCAAAACACACACATGGGAAGATAGACTAATCTGAACAGATCTCCTTTTCAAATACAAACGAAGAATCAGAATAATTGCAACATATATTCCAGCAAGCTCACATCCAAAATATGAAGCATGTACTAAAAAGATACTAGAAGTCCTCTCAGATGCCAAATCAATCCAAGCATATACAATAATTCTTGGAGATTTCAATATGGTTACCAACCCAAGCATCGATATGCCAAACTCAAACTTTCCTATAAACAAACAATTTTCACCCACAGGACCAATTATCAGATGGTTATCTGTAAACCAATACATCAATACTTTCAGAGAATCTCACCCACTCAACACACAATATATTTGAAGCAATACCAATAATATACAAGGTAGAATTGATCAAATTTGGATATCACCATCGACCCTGTGGATCATCACACAAGCATCTATCGAAAAAATTGACACAACACTATATGAGACAGACCATAACACTTCATACACCACAATTCAACTTTGGAACACAAATGAATCAAGCAATCAATGTTTCAAATAGCAGACAAATAATAGATTCAAATGGAAAGACACATCTACAGAAAAGTGGAAAGATTTCGACAAGGATATACTAGAAATCCTTCAGTTAACATGGCCAACCCAGGAAAAAAATGAACAAAATATCAATAGAAAATGGTATATTTTCAGAGACACACTCCTTAAATCAGCTGCCAAACATATAAAGAAATTCAAAGAAAGAAGAAAGAAACCCAAGCCACCCAAACTATTCACGTACACCATCAGAAAAATATCCAAGCTTAAGAACCTGTCTGAAAAATGGAATAAACAAGATATCGCAATAGAAACCTTCCTCTTTAAAACAAAAAAAATACTCAATCAACTCTCAAGCAAATAAAACCTTACAATCGATATGCCAACAAATATACAGGACAAGGAAATACTTTAAGAGTAGAAATGTACACTCAGCACATACCTTACCAATTACAAACAAATCCTCAAAACAGTCTATAGCAATTAATACATAGAGACAATTAGAGAAAGGATACAAAACAGAAACAACTATTTCAGTACAAACAAAAAACAAATGATCCGGAACTTGCTCGATGACTCTAAAAGAACAATTCAACTAGACAAGATAATCACACACATACCAGAGGA